GATACAAACGTAATTTCAGGAGCATATAGGTACAATAATCTACGTTCGGGAGGAAGTCCTCTGATATTGACATCATGATCGGAAACACATTTAAACTTAGTATAGCGATGTGATGACAAATAAAAAACATTTAGGTATATTATGTAACAAGTAGAACCTAATAATAAATATAAATTATCGCATTGATTTACACAGACAACACAAAATCCACCATTTCAAGGTTAACACTTACTAGCGTATTAAGAAATTAATTACTTTTATTCCGTTTTCACATCATAATATATTACATTATTATTTTTAGTAGAGAATAAGATCAGGTACGTAATAAGTAGTAGGTACTATATCCCATAGACATCTACATCAATCCTCGATAATCATCATCATCATTACAGCCCTTCACAAGTCCACTGCTGAACATAGGCCTTCCCCAAGGTATGCAACAAAGCACGGTCCTGAGCCACCTGCATCCATCGACTTCCTGCATGTCTTACCGGGTCGTCACTCCATCTAGTGGGGGGATTTATCGATTAAGAATCGAAATTTATAATTGGCTTTTAAACAAATGTAAATTCAGTGGCTACTTGTGTAGTTTCTTCTCCAAACAGAGGAAGCTCATTTTGAACGCTAGCAGATGAAACCTTGACGATTGACGAACGAAACTTTAAATTACCGTTACGGTTACAGCTTAACAAAGGCCACTGCTGGATAAAGGCCTCCCCCATCGATTGCCTTATAGAGAGGACATTGCCCATAATTACCATGCTTGATAACAGCGGTATTTTTATTTTTAGTCATCATCATCATTACAGCCCTTCACAAGTCCACTGCTGAACATAGGCCTCCCCCAAGTAATGCCACAAAGCACGGTCCTGAGCCACCTGCATCCATCGACTTCCTGCACGTCTTACCAGGTCGTCACTCCATCTAGTGGGGGGTCGCCCTACACTACGCCTACCGGTACGAGGCTGCCACTCGAGAACCTTTCTTCCCCATCGGTTATCGGTTCTTCGAGCTATATGGCCGGCCCATTGCCACTTCAGCTTACTAATCCGTTGGGCTATGTCGGTCACTCCGGTTTTACTGCCGATATCCTCATTTCTGAGTCTATCACGCAGAGAAACTCCGAGCATAGCCCTCTCCATAGCTCGCTGTGCGACCTTGAGCGTCCTCATACGGCCAGCGGTGAAGGACCATGTCCCAGATCCGTAAGTCATCACTGGCAACACGCACTGGTTATACACTTTAGTTTTCAGAGAATGAGGTATACCTGACGAGAAGATGTGTCGTAATTTCCCGAACGCTGCCCAGCTGAGTTGAATCCGTTGATTGACCTCTCGGTCGAAGTTGGACTTACCTAGTCGGACTATTTATCCCAGGTAAACGTACTGGTCAACAACTTCGAGCATAGTGCTCCCAACAACTACCGGCATAGGTGTGACATGGACATTAAACATGATCTTTGTTTTGTCCATGTTCATCTTAAGACCTATCCGTTGGGAGACACCATTGAGGTCATTGAGCATAGTGCTAAGGTCCTCCAGCGATTCTGCCATAAGGACTATATCGTCGGCAAATCGAAGGTGAGTGATGTACTCGCCATTGATATTAATACCGTATTCTTTCCAGTCCAGTAGCTTGAAAACGTCTTCCAACGCAGCGGTGAAGAGTTTCGGGGATATAACTTCACCCTGTCTTACACCTCTCTGCAGTTGGATAGGTTTCGTACTCTGGTTCTGTACTCGGAGAGCCATCGTAGCCCTACTGTACAAATACTTCAGCACTTAAATATACCGACAGTCAACTAGGCAGAACAGCTGAAGAGACTGTAGCACCGCCCAAATTTCGACGGAATCAAAGGCTTTCTCATAGTCCACACACGCCACGCAAAGTGGCAGATTGTACTCTTCGGACTTCTGTACAATTTGCCGAAGGGTATGTATGTGGTCTATGGTACTGAAGCCTTTTCGGAAACCGACTTGTTCGGGAGGCTGGAAGTCGTCGAGTCTCCGTGCGAGACGATTCGTAATGACTCTCGAAAACAGCACGTAGTGGCACGCGGCTCAGAAGGGAAATCGTTCTGTAGTTCTACAAGAGAGCGTTGTCGCCTTTCTTAAAGAACAAGACCACTGCGCTTCTGCTCCACGCCTCCGGAGTAGTGCCACCATGGAGGACGGAATTGAAGAGCTTCTGAAGGACTTCAAGTACCGGTGTTCCACCCGCTTTCAGAAGCTCCGCTGTAATTCCATCCACGCCCGGGGCCTTGCAGTTTTTAAGGTGGTGGAGAGCCATTCTTGAAAGTAATAATCTCGCTCAGACTGACATCCGGGATATCATCGGAATAGTGTCGGATAAGACTTGCTCTTGGATCGTTACTCACACTTGCGTGTGGCTCCAACGATGATGTGTACAGCTGCCCATAGAACTTCTCAATCTCACTCAGAATCTCAGGTGTCCCGGAAACGATGTTGCCACATTCAGTCTTCAGCCTTGACAGTTGTCTCTTTCTGGCAGACAGATCTCTGGCAAAGACTTTGGAGCCCTGGTTCCGCTCGATCGCTTCTTTAATACGAGCAGTATTAAAGTTGCGTAAGTCTCGCCATTTGCTTCTTCAGTTGCCTGTACGCTGTCAAATCTGTAGACGACTGCAGCCTCATCTCCCGTCTAGCAGCCATGAGATTAAGAGTATGATCGGAGAGTTTTTGTGTTCTTCTGAGGCGGGTCTTGCAGAACTTAGCTCCGACCGCATGGACAGTTTCCACGAGCTTGTCATTCATATCGTCCACTGCATTGCAATCCTCTAGGCACTGAAAGCGGTTTTGTAACTCGAGCTGAAAGGTTTCAGGATTCTGGATTAGAGCACGAGGTGGACGGAGCGTTGACTTCATTAGACGAGACCTCTCCAACTTAACATTTAGGATCAGTGTGCCTCTAACCATTCGGTGATCGCTGCCAGTTTTCACCCTCGCGATTATTGAGATATCACTGAACAGTTGGCGTCTGGTCGTCATAATTTTTTGTCGAACCATCGGGGCTCGACCAGGTCCACTTCCTGTGGGGCCGCTTCTGGAAGAAAGAGTTCATCATAAAGAGTCCCTCTTTCTCCATAAAGTCGGCCAGCTGCTGGCCCTTTCGGTTCCGTTGCCCTACTCCAAATTTCCCCACCTTCAGCTCACCGCTTTCTCTTGTGCCTAGTTTTGCGTTGAAGTCTCCCATCAACACCGTGTAGTGGGTTTTGGAGGAATACATGGCTCTAGAAATACCCTCATACATTTCCTACATCTCCTCATCGGGATGTGCCGAGGTTGGTGCGTAAACCTGTATGACCTTCAGCGAATACCGTTTGGTGATTCTGAGTATCAGGTACGCGACCCTCGTCGACACACTCCCAATCTTTACAACGTTGTTGACGAGAGACTTGTGGAGGATAAATCCGACACCTCCTTGGGACAGATGGTCGCCCTCCCGGTGGTAGAACAAGTTGCCGGACTCGAGGATTGACGTATCCTCCCCCTCTCTTCGGACCTCGTATAATCCAATAATATGCCAGCGCAACTTGTCTACCTCTTCTTCCAGCTCCAGTATCTTCTCGTCAGTCCTCAGGGTGCGTGTGTTATATGTTGCCAGTTCGAGTCGTCGTAGGTGGCAACTGAACCTCCACCGGAGATTCTTAGCACCCCTGCCCCGCCGTTACCATGGTCGCCACCGTAGCCAGGAATAGCGGGGCCGCCGGGGACTGGGGGCCGTTTTTTTTGAGTCATTATTCATGGGGGATATTTGCCATAGTTGCAACGCTTGGCGAGCGGGTTGGCAACCGCAGTTTTTTATTATAACACAGTTGTTATCAGAAAGATGCTGCTGCCCGTCTCCTTCCTGTGTCCCTCTGTCGCCTCTTACGACACCCACGGGAAGATATGGGGTAGTGGATATTCTCAACCGCCACTACACCGCAATTATTTTTAGTAGTTAGGTATAAGGTAGACGCTGCTGCCCATCTGATCTGCTTACCTCTGTCGCCTTTAACGACACCCGCCGAAGGATTTATGGTAGTGGACATTCTTACACCACAACTACACGGTACATATTATTGTTATTTTATAGACATTTGGATATCTCTCGCCCCTCTAAAATCCTTACGTTTCTTAAAAAAAACCACAAAATAAGTTTTCATTTATGAAAGTACTATCCGTAAATTTCAACTACATCGCCCCATGAAATAAAATGTTTCATAAGAACTGTAACACGCCATTACATCCTCTTTGGGTTTAGATTCTCCGAAATCCTTCCATAGGTCTTATTCCTGCACTTTTAAGGAAGTCCGAGAATGGTTTGTTGACATATTCCAGGCCATTGTCAGTCCGAATACATTTGAGTTTACATTCAGTTTGGTTTTCAACATCTGTTTTGAGCTCTTTGAATTTTGACAATACCTCAGTTTTGTTGTTCAAAATGTACACAAACACCTTTTTGGAATAATCGTCCTGAAAATGTTAAAAAGTATTTGCCCCCTCCTAATGACTGTGTTTCCATGGGGCCACATAAGTCAGACATTTTTGTTTGCTTGCCTTCTTTACATGTTATATGAGTTATATTGTTTACTTGTTTATCAGACAATGTGAATCCTTCAGAACTTTCTTTCAATTTCTTCAAGGTGTCTAGGTTCAGATGACCCATTCGTTGGTGCCATAAAAATATATCATCTTGTTTAATATCAGACATGTATGCATAGTCAGTATTCATGTTAAGCCGGTACATGTTGTTAACTTTTGTTGCTGTTGCTACAATAACATTTTGTCTGTTCAGTGTAGTACAGCCATTGGAGTTAAATTTAACTAGACAACCCTTTTCTGTAATTTGATGAACAGATATTAGATTCACTGCAATTTCTGGTACGTACAGAACGTTTGTAAATAAGATTGCATTTGACTGATTTTCTCCATTCAATGTATTCAATGTCACATCACCAGAGCTACTCACTGAAAGTGTTTTGTTCATTCTAAGCAATGTTGTGCACTAAATATTTTAAGAAATCATCATTAATTGATAATTTTGGAAAGAGGCTAGTCAAATCTGCAGTACCTGATGAGGAATGTGATAAGGTTAGTTAATGTTTCTTTTGCTACTATATACATTTTTTTCTTTTGTGTGGCTTTTCTCATACTACAGTGAAAATATTTTCTAGTTAACAAACGGTGGTAACAGATTGAGTGGTGATTTATAAGGGTATGCGACGTAACCTACCATTACTTCTCAACCATAAAAAAAAAGATATAAACTTTAAAAAAATATATAGGATGGTGGTGGTAATGGGTTAAAGAAACATTCATTAATAAAAACAAGTTGTATTTAATGTTTATAAATTTCTAAGGCTGTTTGAAATTTAGAGATTGGTTGATCAATGCTGGGATACACGATATAAATAATGATTTGATAATCTCTAATTTTCAGATCACATTATATAATAATAATAATAATCTGGTTAGGCTATTTATTTATTTATGTATTTTTGTATTTATTTTATTTTATTGATATTTATGTATATTTATCGTTTCATTTTAATTTATAATTATATATTTACATAACCCAACCAGATGAGAAAACTATATAGATACCCCATAATAATAATAATATAGCTCCATTTACCTTGAGGGCTCCACCTCCTATACCTATCCATCTCCACTTCATTTGGTCTATCTTGGTGAGAATATCTGTCACACCTGTTCTTATTCTTATGTGTCTGTTTCTTTGCTTATCTATTTTTCTGATTCTTAGCATGCTCCTTTCCATGGCTCTTTGACAATGTTCGAGCATATCTCTGTGCTGCTTAGAAAGTGCCCAAGTTTCGCAGCCATAAGTAAGTAGTGGGGTAATGGGTTAAAGCAACATTCATTAATAAAAACAAGTTGTATTTAATGTTTATAAATTTATAAGGCTGTTTGAAATTTAGAGATTGGTTGATCAATGCTGGGATACATGATATAAATAATGATTTGATAATCTCTAATTTTCAGATCACATTAGCTGACCTTAATTTGGAACAAAGGAATGTCATTCAACATATTGTGGGTCCATCAACTACTAAACAACCACTGTCTGAAAATATTCAGAAGACTATAACTGTTCCAAATGTATTTGAGCCGGTTGCGGGTCCGTCAAAATGTATACAACCCTTGTGTGAGAATGTGCATTATAAGACCATTCCTGACAAAACTAGTGCTATTACTCAAGTAACTGAGAGTATCAACCCTGTTGCTGCTGCAAATCCATCACGAAAAACAAAAAGGATAAAGAATATGTTGATAAAAATGAAATATCATCTGAGAAAAATTAACAGGCTTCAAAAAACTGTAAAGCATCTAAAGAATGAAGCATTTCTCAAAGTATTGAGCAAAAATGATTCAGTAAATGAAATATTAAAATGTAAAATATCCCCCTCTTTTGCATTATTTTTGCAAGGAGAATTGCAAAACTATAAAAAAATCAAAAGGTCGAAGATGGAACATGGACTCCAAAATAATAGCACTAAGACTGTATAAAAGGTCACCTAGGTGTTACAAATTATTAAGAAGGATGATTTGCCTGCCAACACCTAGTTCATTAAAAGCGTTATTAAGCAAGTTTCACATGAAAGTTGGTATTAATGACCAAATTTTTAATGTTTTGAAAAAAACAATAAAGCAACAGACTCCCTCAGACAATGAGTATATCCTTATGTTTGATGAGATGTCAATAAAAAAAGAATTTGTTTTACAACAAAAAGGAGGACATAATTGAGGGTTATCAAGACCATGCATTGCAGGGCAGGTCACCACAAATGGCAACACATGCCCTCGTGTTCATGATTGGCGGAATCCGTAAAAAGCTGTAACAACCAATTGCTTATTATTTTTCTAGCGGATCTGTGACTGCAGATAGGCTGTCAGTTCTTATAAAGGAGGTGAGCATTATGGTCTTTTATTTGTAATTATGTCAATATTTGTAGTAGTACTTTTTTACCGTATTAATTTACCCTTTTATCATTCTAGGTCCTGCAACATTGTTTTGATGCTGGAATTAATATTTCAGCTACAGTGTGTGATATGGATGGTGTGAATAAGGAGCTTTAAGTATCTTGGGAGCATCTGTAGAACAGCCATATATTCTGCTAAGTAATCGAGGAGTGGTTACCATTTTTGATACTCCGCATTTGCTCAAATGCTTTAAAAATATGTTTTTAAAATATGACATTAAATGTCCAACAAATATAACATCAAATGATCAAATTGGATTTGGTAAGATATTTTGTTTTATTACAATCATAATATTGTACATATTTCCAATTTACTGGATATTTACACAAATGTTTTTTACAGGTGTTGCTAAATGGAGCCATATAAAGGAGTTTTATGAAACAGATAACACCAATCCCAATTTTTTGTTTGCACCTTGCTTAAAACAAGAACATTTAAATCCAAATACGAAGCAGAAGATGAAGGTGAAGCTAGCTGCACAAGTGTTAAGCCACTCAGTTGCTGCAGGAATGTATGCTAAAATGTCACAAGGTAAATTAAATTTATAATTTAAAGTATAATATTTAAACATATGTCCACACATTAAAATAATTATTAACTTAAAAAGGAACTAGGCTCTCCCAAGTACAAATTATTGTTTATTGTGTGATATGTGATATTTTTTTTGAGTTGTCTTGTAATGTACTTTAAATCATATTTCTTTAATCCTACTAGTAAGATCTTAAATTATGTATTGTTTACAGGGGAACTCTCTTCATAGGCGGTCACTACTGCTAATGTTATTGTAAATATGGACAAGCTGTTTAATTGTGTCAACGCATGCACACCAGACCTAAGAAGGGGGAAACCATTTTCGACAAACATGACAAATAATACACCACATCTCAAACATTTCACTTTAATGAAGAAATTTTTTAAAGAAATGACGTTTTTGGGATGCAAACAAACCCCTCCATCCCAAGAAGGTTGGATATGGTCCATCAATGGAATAGAACGAATCTGGAGAAATCTCAGTTCTAAACATAAATCAATAAAAAGTTTGGAAACAAGAAGGCTCCAGCAGGACCCAATAGAGTCTTATTTATTCTGCAGGATATCAATTTTTCTTTAACAGGACAAACGTAAAAAAATGAAACCACAAAAAACAAATGGCATATCGAGGAACAAAGTTTAAAAAATCCCTTTTTTACCAAAAAAAACACAGAACAACAAAATAAGGGGTTTTTAGGGGTTTAAAAATATTCTTTAAAGTCAATAAAAGTATGTGATCTCTCTTGTGTCTCAGATAAAAAAAAAATTTTTTTACAAATTTCACATTTGTTGAGATTATTTTTTACTATAAATGCGACGGGCTGATGGGTGGTCGTGCAGCACCTCTCGCTCGGCTGGCGGTTCGCATGCTGTCGCGTCCAGCGCCAGCTCCTGACGCGCCCTGGCGACCTCCAGGCAGCGGCCCTTTGCGCGTTCTTCCGTATTCCATTATCCATAGTGGTGGGCGTCATTTAACGGGAGACGCCCAGACCCGGCGCCGTTTCATGGTGGGGCCATGTGCACAAGCGGGCCTTTGCACCTTCAATTTTTGCCGAGGCACGGCACTAACACCTCTTGGCAAGGTGCTGACTGACTGCGCTGACGTAGTGGTTTTGTCACATAACCGTTACGTCAGCGGGCGATGGGGTCGTCACTTCCCTACGCCGTTTTTATTATTATTATTATCTAATTGTATTGAGAGTTTCACACCAATATTACTAAACAGATTGATTGGTGGTACAACAAGTTACACTATCATGAAGTCAAGTCAAACTTTTGGTTCTAAGTTAAACACATTTGTTGCAGGTAATTGATTTAAGTATGTAATTCTTAGTTTTATTCATTGCTGCTGTTACCATATTTTTTAATGCAAAAATCATGTACTTGTCTATTAAATTAACGACAATTTGGTTTTAATTTGGGTAAATAATATGTAGTTTTCGTTTACTAACTAGATGGCGTTGGCGTCGAGTTAGATCGCGTTATGGTTTCTTTCCCAAAAAAGTGATGTTATAGGTGCCGATGGGCCGCTCTCATCCTATAGAAACGGGGGCTAACTTTGTTGTCTGTGTTGGTTGATGTGTTTAATTTTCCTGCGAATAATAATTATTTTTCTACTTACTAGCAATTCTTACGTACTTATTCGATTACTTTTCATTGTTTTGAATATCGTTAGTATCGGATTAAGAAGGAATTTTAGCTATGCCTTTTAGAAAAAGATCAAATCTGTCTTGAAACTCAAGGGTTTCTAAGATGCGCAGGTTAGTTAGTAGTAGCAGTAGTTTCTCTCGAACCCACGCAGAGCGTGAACAACGGCTAGGTGCTAACCGTGAGCGTAATGCACTAAGTTTGTCCGCAGAAACTAGCACGCAGCGCCAATTACAACTAGAATTTAAACGAGTCCACACTACTGCTTCTCGATCTCAGGAAAATGTGGAACGAGAAATGCGTTTAGATATCGACCGGGATCGTCATTCTTTGTCTCGCGCATCCGAAACAGTTACACAGAGGGATCAGAGGTTGAGTTTTCAGAATATCCGCTCTGAGACTGCTCGATCACTTGAGAGCAGTCAGGAGCGTGAGATACGACTTGCGCGTGACCGAGAACGTGGGCAAAGCCAAGGGTACAGCTATAGTTTAAAAGATATAAAAATGGTGTCATAGCAAAAATATTCCACTTGAAGAGTTTTTTCTGCCGTGAGAATAAATTTGAAGATCTGGAAAACCTGTTGTGGAACTCCAAAGCCCAGCGACATTATAACATATATAGGAATGACGTCTTAGCAAAAGTTGTTTAGTCTGATGGGCACTTCCTGGTGACTTACAAAAATGAAAGATCTTGAATGTCTCGAATCGTTTCGCGCATCACCGTGTTTTCCCGTCCCCGGGCTCTTAGAATTCGATATCAGACATTTTAGATCGACTTTGACGACCCCGTTGTCGCTAGCATAAGCAACATCATCCGCGTACGAAGTCGCGAGCAGCACCTAGTTTACAATAATCTAAATTATAAATGTACCTATGTTGTTTTTATTGATTGATATATATTGCATTTTCTCTTTCATTATTGCTATTTTGTACATGTCCACTGCTGAACCTTGACCTTGTTATTACCATTTGCATCACCATTATTATTACTTTTTGCAAATTGATAATATTATGTAATCGAAGTATATATAAGTAAAAATACTAGCATTACTAATCTTGACACAAACTATTATTCACCTTTTGTGAAAACAATGCGAGGTAGTAAGCCTAGGCTTCTGTCAGAAGCCTAATAAAAATAAAAATAAAAATAAAGGTTCTAACATAGAAAGGGTTATTGTACTCATCACTGTGAACAACTTTTTACTATAGATCCAAATCTGAAATTGCAAAATGACTGTGCCTCATTTTGTCGTTGGACCTGGCTTACTTTGTAATCAGCTATTTTTTTTAAATAATATACTAATATTTGTTCATATATTTCTTTTTCATTTCAGAATTGGGAGTCGTTGATAAGAGCTGTTATGAGACAGCGAACCTCCTATTGTTTGTCGATGACCTATTTGACAACGTGAATGGTAGTTTCAGCGAAATTATAGGAGGAAAATAGTATCGTGCTGCAGTAACTCCAACTTCACCCCATCACGATTTGTGGAATTATAGTATCCCAATCCTCAAAATTATGAAATTTGTAAGCAATAATAGTCAAGGAGTAGTGCCATCTTTATCCAGTTGGATTAACAGTAGAAAGTTTTAAAAATATTGTAAAATTTTTAAATTTTAAAGGGAACAATCAACTCTTTATTACTACGAAATTTTAACCAAGATCCATTGGAGAACTTTTTTGGAGAAATCCGAGCTCATGGCTATAGTAATATAATGCCTACGGCATCTGTATTTGAAGGGCATTTAAAACATTGTTAATAAACACTATAACATCTTCACATTCAGTTGGATCAAATTGTGAAAAAGATGACAGTATGATTTCTTAAATTTACGCGAACACTATACATTGAATAAAACTATTATTTACGGATTTTTTCGCGTTTAATTACTTTAATTTATTTTTATTATTATCCCGACGTTTCGGGTGCTTTACAGCGCCCATGGTCACGGGGGGGACTGAGATGTTTGACGTCCCAATGTCATAGTTAGTCCGGCTACCTTCAGTTTTTTAATATTAATTTTTTGGTCCGATTTACGCAAAACGAGCTTATAGTATCATGAAGTCTTGCAGTGGTATGCTTGGGTTCGGGTTTAATTTTGTTAATTATAGGATCCCAAGCAGATGGTAGCACCCAACCATCTTCTCTATTGAAATTTGGATGTTTTTTAATTTCTATAGCCTCGCGTATCATCCTTGGTAGGAATCGGTGTTCTTTTGCGAGAATTTGTGGTTTATCAAATCTAATGTAATGGTGGGGACGATCTTGAACATGTTCGCAGACTGCAGACTTCCCGGAGCGTCGGTGCTTCACATCAGTTATATGTTCCTTCACGCGGGTTTTTATAGATCTCTTTGTTTGACCTATGTAAGAGAGACCACATTCACAATCTAGCTTGTACACACCTGCATCTTGTAGAGGAATATTACATTTGATGGATGGTAAAAATTGACTAATCTTCTTCAGCGGCTTGTAGTATGTCTTAATGGACGCTCGCTTCAAGATGTAGCCAATCTTGTCCGTGACTCCTCTAACATATGGCAGTAGAGCAGGCACGCGCTCGACTGTGGCCGGCTTCACTCGTTCACTGTGACGTAGGCGCGGGACCCGAAGCTTGTTGTCTTGCAATACTTGCTTGACGTGCTGAAGCTCCGCGGCCAGACGTTTTCTGTCACAGATCCCTCGTGCTCTCTGAAACAAAGATTTACGCACGGTAGCTAACTGTGAAAGATGATGGTGAGATTCACCATTTAAATATCGGTTGGTATGGGTCTTTTTCCTATACACAGTGTGACCAATAGTGTTATCAGGATTTCGGAAGACTAAAACATCTAGGAAAGCTAAAGAATTAGTGCCTCTAACTCCATTGTGAATTGTATTTTAGAGTTTATGGAGTTACGGTGGTCTAAAAATGCAGTTACTTTGTCAGATGGTAAAATTGTGAAAGTGTCGTCTACGTACCGCTTGTAGAACCTTGGATTTACAGGAGCACCCGAAACGTCGGGATAATAATAAAAATAAATTAAAGTAATTAAACGCGAAAAAATCCGTAAATAATAGTTTTATTCAAAGATGACAGTGTTTGTCTCCAATCCTTAAAATCATCATCATCATCATCATTACAGCCCTTCACAAGTCCACTGCTGAACATAGGCCTCCTCCAAGTAATGCCGCAAAGCACGGTCCTGAGCCACCTGCACCCATCGACTTCCTGCATGTCTTACCAGATCGTCACTCTATCTAGTGGGAGATCGCCCTACACTACGCCTACCGGTACGAGGCTGCCACTCGAGAACCTTTCTTCCCCATCGGTTATCGGTTCTTCGAGCTATATGGCCGGCCCATTGCCACTTCAGCTTACTAATCCGTTGGGCTATGTCGGTCACTCTGGTTTTACTGCGGATATCCTCATTTCTGAGCCTATCACGCAGAGAAACTCCATAGCCTCTCCATAGCTTGCTGAGCGACCTTGAGCGTCCTCATACGGCCAGCAGTGAAGGACCACGTCTCAGATCCGTAAGTCATCACTGGCAACACGCACTGGTTGTACACTTTAAAGTACAAAATCGAAGGTGAGTGA